AAATTTTCTTATCGAAATGTTCAAAAGGGGCTAAAATTTTCGATCGCTGATTATAATGTTTGCAATTCACGGAATCAGCACAACAGAGATAAAACGAGACAAAAATTTTGAAAAATAAAAATAAAATGTAAATCGTGTAAAAAAACAAAAAGAACGAACGTGAGGTTCGAACAATGGTGAATTGAAAAGAGGGAAATCGAATGAATGATATTAGAAACCCACCTGAAGGGGATTATTCATCGTGTCAGTGATGGTGGTAAATTAGGCGAAAATACGAATGCACATCCCACTGCGACGAAAAACGACTCGGAAGCAATCGAAATTACGAAACGAGGGAAACAACCTCAAAATGATGGTGAAGTTTACAGGGCTAAGAAATGAGGAAACGAGAAAAGGTTCGTCTTGGCAGGTGTTTAATCGTCATCCTCGACTTTATTCGCATCGTCGTTCTCAAGCTTGTCCACCATCCTCGATCGTCGACCTTTCCCACGTTCGAAATCACCATATATATCACACGTTAGTCAGACAATCACGTTTCCAGCCACGGTGTCATCATTGTATCCTTATGTTTCTTTCACTGTATCAGCGCCATCTACGTCTTCGGAACGTCGTTTGTCTTACGTTAGCTTCGACTTCGAAATTGCATCTATTTCTTCTACCAACATCCTCAAACGTGCGTCATCGTTTACGTCATCCTTCCCTCTTCCTTCATCGTACGTCAGTTCGTCAAACTAGTTTTTCTTGCTCGAAAACTCTGGAAAACTTCGATCAATCAATGTTCATCATTCTCCGAGCGATGATTCTGTTGGCAATCATCCTCATTTCTCGTCCACGTTGCCGTAACATTGTGTACTTTTGGTGGGTCTCGCGCGTGTGTGTTACATTAGACGCTTATGTGTCGGGTAGATGTGTGAGATCAAGCCAGAGAGCCAATTGTCGGACTCTAGCTGAAGAGGTACGCGATGTCGCGAAGTTGTTGCTGCAAAAATATTATCTGCTCCACGTTCTGTCTCCACATCCTAGAACAAAGAGGATCGCTGTATCAGCGCGCGTCTCTGACACGATTTTTTCTAATTACGTTTTCGATCCTTTGAGCATTTTTTTTTTTTTTTTTTTTTTTTTTAAATACTTGTGTATTTAAAATCTTTCGCAATTTTTCGACTTAGAGATATGCAAGGAATTTCATGGCTTTAGAAATAGTGGTGACAACTATGAGTGCGAATTTTCAATAAATGGTATACTAATTTATTCTAAGTAATAATGGTAAATCTTGATGCAAACATAGGAGATGTCTGTGAAGGCAAAAGTGAATTTTATGAGAAATATTTTCAAGAATCTTTATGGTTGATATAAATATTGACAATAAAGTATTATTGTTAAGTATTAATGATCGTTTAAAACTATCATTCGTCTTTAAAAATTCTCACCTTCATACGCATACATACACATTTATATAGATACTTATATTATACTTTATATAACATTCTCCTATCTATTCATGCTACAATTTTAGAAAAAATTCATACAGTTTAAAAATATTTGTATTACTTAATTAATGATAACAATTATTTAATTCCTTTTTTTTATTTTTTTTTTTTTTCATTTATTTGCTTAAAGTTTTATTTAAAAAGTTTTCATTTTATTAACACACGTTTTTTGGCAAATACGCGTGAACACATTTGATTCAGCGCCGATTTAAATAGTGCGCATCGGGATTTAAATTCATGATCTTTTTAATAATATCTCACGTATCAAGATTCACATTATAAAATTGTACAAAATTTTATATAGATTCTGGTCGAAACAATGTACAACGATGTATTTACAATAGTATTTTCATAAATTGCAATTGTTTTTTTAATTAAAATCCTAATAGAAAATAGTTTTAATCGATGACATAGATAAACATAATAAAAAAAAAACAAAATCAAAGTTTTAAACAATTTTTAAACCTTTTCTGTCATGGGGGACTTTTATAATTATATTTTTTCAGCTCAAGATAGAACAATTATAATTTCAATTAATAAAAAATTTGGCTTAAGTATTTTCGTTTACTTTGAATAACATTCTCATACATGTTTCAAAAAGTCATAATAATGAGAAATAAATGTAATGACTGATAAACATTAAAAAATTAACCGAGCTTAAAACTAAATCGCTAAACTAAATATTTCAAGCTATCTTTTATACAATGAGTATTGCGAAAATTACAATAAAAAATTATACAATAACATATAGATAAAAATTTTGGGGAAAGTCTTCACAACTTTATATATATATATATATAATTAACATTTAATCTTAATTATAATCAAAAGTTAAAAAAAAATTAATCTTCAATTTCGAAAATATGCGCAAACATAACAACACAAAATTCATTTGTCAATATTGAATATTGCAATATAATCTCTTGTATCTACAATTTGAAAATAATTTCTCGCAATATGAATATTTATTAGTACAATTCCATCCAAGAAAAGAAATTCATGGAGTACTTAACCTCACAAAGTTATACATATTCAATTATATTATCGCAGATACAAGGGCACAAAACTCGAACTCACAACACCTGTATCATCTTAATTTCTAATTACAGCACCATTTATGAAAACAGTGGGAAACAACAAAAAAGAAAAAAATATAATTTTGACTTTCTTAACGCATAAGAAAAACACAAAGCGATCTTGCAAAAAGTGACTCAACGAAACGGTGTTGCATTGTGGAATCTTGTATAATTTTAGAAAAATATATAAAGTCGAATATATGTAACAGTTACATGAAAAAGATGTTAAGAGCTAGTTTACAAAAATGATCTCAATTAAAGAGCCATGCACTCTCTTATTCTCTTTACAAGATGTGTGTATAAATGGTCATAAATTATATATGAATGGTTAAACGAGTCGCTATCTACATCGGAGGTAAAAAATGTACAAAGATGCGAAAAACGTTCCTGTCAAGAGACCAGGGATAATTGATACACATCAAGTTGGCAAAATTTTCGTAAAACCATCACCCTCCATAAAAATAGTACGATTTACAATGTGCCTCTTCTCTTTCATATTTGATAATAACAGTATCTCAATTACAACAGCATAAGTATGTATTATACACTATCGACAACGTTATTGTCGTTCAGAAATTGGGAACAACATTGATAATTCTTCAATCGCTTAATTGCGAAATGTAAAAAACGATCCTTCGCAAAAAGAAAAAGAAAAAAAAAAGAAGAAAGATAGTTCTCTACTGGGAGAGAACAAGCAATAAATACATTAGATAAGAGCCGATTTTTCGAATGACAAAACGAAAATCAAAATGTTTTCCTCGATCCATGGAGATAACGGATATTTTATTATCAGTAAAAGTGAACAAAGTTAATAAAATCGTGGCCGCTTGAACAGGCCACGACGTATAATCCTCTTTTCATCACAAAAGCAGTAACTAACTTAATTTAAAAATGTAGAACGATCCTTTTTCTTTCTCTTTCTCACTCTCTTTCTCTCCCTCTCTCACACACACATACGCACTCTTTTTCTCTTTTTTTTTTTCGTTCTCCTCGTTGGTACAGAACTACGACTATAAAATCGTGATTATATTACAGCGATTTTTGTCATCTGTATCAACTATCCCCAGCTTTTTCTAATCGATGCGTAATTTACGTGTAAGAGAGTTACTAACCAAACTCGAGCCGGCAGAAGAAGCAGACGTGGCAGCAGGGGTAGGCACCGTCAATATTGAATGATATTATCTACGACCGCGAAGCCGCATGCTCCAAGACCAGCGTGAGACATTAACCGTACCAATTCTCTTGCATGAGACGCGGCCACTTCCAACGGTGGCCGTCGTGGCAAATTACTCGATTCTAGAAGTATCGAATCATCGAAATTAACACAACCAGTAGAACAAAAACGCAGGCTAATTTCAAATTATAGTTCAAGTGGGAATTTCTATGAATTTAGGAAGCCATTTCTGTTGTAATTGCAATTGTAATTACTGTTTTTCAAAGATTATTTAATGAGATATTAAGAGTTCAATCACTGGAATGTATATGTATTGTATGTATATTAAAAATAAAAATTACAGAAATCTTACCGAGTATGGCAGAATTAAGTCTCGCACAAACGGTCTCCCTTTGTTGAGGATCGAGTTGCCAACCTACCGGTGAATTCCACGGATTTGCATATGCTAGAAGACTGAACGCATCTTGAAGCATCTTTTTATTGCTTTCGTTTTTTCCTTGTTGTTGTCGCAGATGTATCGACTGAGAATATAACTGCCTCCCGAATTCCAACATCTTCTCGATTGCCTGTTTATCCCCGCCGCAAAGCTGTTTCTTGTTATTCTTATTCGATGTGTTCTCCATATTGCAATTACCGTTCTGTTGTTGCTGAATTTGATTGACACTGTTGGTTTCTGGAAACAGATTAATATTCATTTTAGAAAACAGTCTAAAATTAAAAATTAATAAGTACATAATAATAATAGTAATACGTAAACAATAATAAACAAATTCCTTGCCTAACGTAATGCGATTAAGCGAATAAGAAGCAACACAATAACGTCTCACCCATGTCGACGTCTTCCCCGTTCTGACACTTATACCCGTTTGTATTCAAATCACCGTTTTGATAACCGTTTTCGGTATTACTTTTCATACCATTTATAACATTCTCTTCCATATCTACATCGTTTTCAATTTGTCCATTAACCAGCTGTTGTTCGGTGGAACCATTCATGGCATTGTTCATGTTCATCTCCTCGACGTTGCCATTTGCTGAAGATTTGGTGTAAGCCTTCGTAGATTGTATAACACTAGTTTGATTGACATTGGAATTTTGGGTGATTTCGGAGTCACTACCGTTCACCATTTCAACGAACTGCCGACATTTGAGTGCGAAGAGAAGATTAGGATCCCGTTCCAGAAGACCTGGATACAGTCGACTGGTTAACTCTATTGCTTCTCCCATTCTACCCGCCAGTACCAACTTTAGAATTTCTGAAATAATACATATCATTTTTTTATGTTAAATTTAATTTTTCTGCTTTTTTTAAATATAATCTTTTTTCTAATTGTATTTTCTAATTGTATTTAAGAATATTGAGAGATATTAGCTATTTACTTTGTCTATTTTTAATGGAATTAAGATCTTCTTCAAATCCTTGACCAGTACTATTGGCAAATGCTTCGGCAGTGGCACAGTATCCGTGATGGACCAAATATGTCGACACCATTCTGAAAAAGAAACGAACAAAAATTTCTAAAACTCGGTATACAATTTTTCTATTTGAATTTTCCTATTTTAGAAAATTTAAATGGTACAGTAAGGTTCTTTTTGATCATATTAAAAAAAAAAAAAAAAAGAAAGAAGAATTCTATTGTTAATCTTCGACGCGTGCATTAGATCTAGATATTTTTAACGCGCACATATCATTATGCGGTAGAATGCAAGGTCATTAGACATAGTAGAAAACGCGTGGCTTCTTTAATCTTTTGTTTCATTACACAAGATTGTGCATGCAGTTAATAAATTTATTAAACTTTTAATCACGTGCTATGAGTTCAGTTCTGACTAATTTGGAGAACAATGAGGGTTAGCTTGCATATTCATAAAAGTAATAACTGCTTTATTAATGCTTTATAATAATGTAATCAATTTTGAATGTATATTATTAATTTGCAAATGTGGATATTCGAAAATATAATTTCTATGTGGATTATTTTTTAATATTTTTTAGCTGTAAAGGAAATTAAGGAAAATGAAACAAAAAAAATCCAACTCACTTGTGAAGGACTGCTTGCCACTGACCCTGACCATGATCTGGCGTGGGATAGTTTATAATTTGCAATCTTGTTTTAACACGAAGTTCGTTAAGCATGTCGTCGATATCAAAAACAAATGGTTCTTGTCCAAAGTTTGCATCGACTACTTCCCCTGGCGTTTGAAGACCCACAGTTGGATATAAATTTGGCTGTAAAATAGATAATGAATAATTATTATGTTGCTTTTTTCAGATTTTAGATTTTCATTCAGATGAATGAAATTAAAAACAATTCAATTTAAGTTTCATTTTTATTCTAGCATTGTTTCAAGAAGTTCAAATATAAGTAACAAAATTAGTAATCTAATTTATTTTTATTACTTTATGACTTTATGGAACAATCCTAAATTTAATGAACTTGTTTAACACAAGATCCTATCAAGTTATTTCTTTATTACAAAAAATAATGTATATTTTATTGTAGTTTAAATTAACTGGTTTTATAAAAACCTTTTCCACAACAGTTTAATTAGATGTAGTTAATATAATTACAGATAGATCTCTGCAGTCTACTTACAGAATTATGTAATATAATCTTTCTCTCTTCAATTTTTGCACGATACTAACCGGAAGATCAGTGAAGGCAATACCAAGATGATGTCCATTTTTCGTATAGAAGGCAGTGTTGTCGACAAGATTTACACCACATCCAATTACATCTCCTGTGGTGAATGTGGGTCCATAAGGTTGTCCTGTTCCAGAAGAACAGAAACTATGCCCATCATCTCCGTGATACCCATAGGAGTGTTTGTCCCAGCCTGGCAACCTGTTCACATTTACTCCATGGGCAGACAGGCCAATTCCCATGTAACCATCTCTGCCTTTACTAACGATCTTCACTTCAAAATAATAGAGACCACAAGCTGCTGGTATGCAATGTGTTGTACGGACACTTGCAGCATCCTTGTGAGTTTTTCCATAACCTGAAACAATATAATCTTGTTAATAAATAATAATTTCTATATAATTAATAGTTGATATTAATTATATCATATACAAAGATTATATCAAAAGAAATAATACCTTCACAAAAATTATAATTTGCAAATTTCTCTTTAAATATTTAAATTTTCTTGTAACAAAAAGCATTCCAAAAACTATTCCATTGCCATTGTCGTGCTTTTATTATATAAAAAAAATCTTTGAGAAAGCAATTTGAACAGTATTACAATTTTCCGAATAATAAAATATAAATGATCATAAAGTTATAATGATGAAAATATACTTATGGTTGAATTATAGTAATACAGTAAATTAATAATAAGATATAATTATATAAGATAATAATAAAGGCCTCTAAAAGTTATTCATTAAGGTATGTTTAATGTAATAGTGCAGAATTATTGTTTTATTCTGTGCTTCTTTTAAATAAGTTCAGAGAATGCGAACCACAGCGGAAAACTGAAGGGTACGAAATTCGAGAACAGAAGTGATCGTCCGTCACAATCTAATCGCTAATCTTGGATGCACTTGCAATGCAGTGATGCAGTTTGTCGACCTAGTAACCTACAGTTGCCCATTTCACATTTAATTAAGTACAAAAGAATTATTAACACGCCTTGCAAAATGCTACAATAGGTTCTGGTATGTAACCAGGATCTTTTAGTCTAGTCGTTTTAAGCCATAATAATCGGCCATCAATCATGCAAATATGATCGATGTAATAAATTAATTTACGGAACACACGGTTTCCCACGAATAATAAACGAAAGACATTCTGATTTATTCAATCGACAATCCATACATTTGCCAATAGCTACTTGAATATGTCGAATAAAATTAAATTAACAATTTGATTGTAATGTTACAGAATATTCAATAATATAACAAAGGTATTAAAATTCTATTCTTATTTTTTTTTATATTTTGTATTTTATGGGAAACTAATTCAATTAAAGAAGTGTATCCAAAGAATATCCAAGAAAATTTTAGAGAAGAAATATTCAATTGCTAATAATACTTCAAATAATTATTTTTAATTTAATTATAAAAATACAATAGCATATATACATATACATATATACATATATATATATATATAAAATACAAATATATATATATATATATATATATATGCATGCGTAGATTTAGTATAACCTTACTACAATCTTTGTAACGAACAGAAATGATAAAGAATCAAGATTATTATATTTACTCTTGCTCGAATATGTTTGTATTATTATCCTCAGAGTATTTATTACATATGAAAGACAAATATAAAATTGCAGCAGTGAATAATTGTTGAAAAAAATACACAATAAACTTCAGTTTCAATTTATTTGTTAAAGTACAACTCCAGAATGCAGACAGTATATTTTAATTTATGCAGAATATTTCCAAAACTATAATAAATGTACAATTTGCTATTAATTTGCTAATACAAACAATGAAATTGTAAAATATTTTATTATACACTAATACACCTTCTGCAATCAATCTATACTCCGTGTCTTTCAATATACAAAAATATTCATCTCATTAGTATCATCAATACGAATTAAATGAGCTAGTACAACATAATTTCTGAACTTTTTCTACCCCAAGAGAAAATGTGCTTAAGATTTAAAATTCTCACATTAACTTTTCAGCTACAAGATACTTACAAAATATCCAAATATAATAATAACAATTTCATTCATTTAAAACTATTACTTTTGATCAATAATCATTAAATTGAACGATCATCTGATACATTTCAATTAAATAAAAGTACAACGCAATTCTTCAAGTTCCTTCTTATTTAAAGAGGGGATTATTGTTCGGATTTTTAACGATATCTTTTCAAACGCAAATTGAAGACCACACGTCTCGCTTTTAATTTGAAAATCAGGACATAACAATAAACACGGTTTTTATCACTCATCGATATTTACATGGATTTATTCAACGTCTACAAATACATAACATACGAATAATAGCAATGTTAGAAAATAAGTAAAAAAAAAAAAATTCGTCCGCTACGAAACTGAACGACAAGACAGGAGGGGGGAGCAGGAGCGAAGAAGTGCTCACGAACGTGTATGCGAAAGAAAGAGAGAGAGACATATATGGAAGCTGTGGGCGAAAAAGAGACAGAAAAGTAACTGTTCAAACATCGCAGCTGTCATTGCCATTGCGCCTTCTCTACGCAGATCCATTTTTTCCACGAATATCCGTGAAAAACCATTGCCAGAGGCCCGACACACGGATTCACGAGGGATCTCGATCGATTTGCAACTGCTCGAACGGGGCATTTGGCGAACGATTGAGGAAAATAACCGAACGATCGAGAGAAAGTCGAATAGAGACCATGACCGATCAGCTGATTCCTTTGTTTAGGTCGCTGACACACGCGAAACGGAGCCCTGCCATTTTCAATCGATATTACAGCTCCGTCAAACGATTCGTCCGTATCGAGCAAGAATCGAATCCTATTGGCCGGGATCGTTCCTCGATCCTTCGTTACGGGCAACGTTAAAAAACCGTCCGCGAGAATTCTCTGGGTAACAGCAGAACAAAATCGTTGAGAGATACGAAGAGCACTGGGGACGAAAACGTACCTTTGTAGTGAACACGAAGATTGTTTTGGGAGAGGCCGATGTAATTGTACTTGTCCTTGGGACTCCATGAGCGTGGCAGCGGCGTTTCCTCTTCGTTTACCATCGGATAAAGCATCTTTAGCGGATCGACGGGCTGACTTTGCCCAGAATTCGTCTGAGAAGGCTCCATAACACTCGGTTCCTCGCTGGTGGCGGCCATCTTTCTCCTGGGCAGCCCCACTACTTTCGCCAGTGGACTCTGCTTAACTGACTGCGCAAGGTTCCTGCGCAACTCAACTTTACCTTCCAGTTCATGAAAGCTGTGGTATATAGATAGTAAACTTGTTAGAATTTTAAAATATGAAACCGTGCTGACACCTGTTATGATGTATTGACATTATTAGTAATATATTATTGACATTACTAAAAATATATATTTTTGTATGTACGTAATAAATGAGAAGGCTATTATAGATATTTTAAAAATGGTAATGGATATGATGAGAAAGATATGAAATTTTAATATTGGACGAGAGCAGGTTTAATTTTTATACTTATGTTGCGATTTATATACTATATACACACACATATACACACATATATATGTATATTTTTATGCTTATTTATGTCTTAATTATTAACAAACATATATATATATATATTTAAACATTGCAAAATTTAAATGTTTAAAAGTGAATTATTTATAAAATAAAGTAATCTTTCTTATTGTACACAAGGGGTAAGGAACACTATCCCTCTTAAATCATTAGTTATCACAAGTCAACTTCTAAATAAATGTGAATTATCAATAAAAGAAGATAAATATTCCATTACTACGTTATTACAACGATTAACATGTTTGTCAATCATGAAGAATAAATTGGGTACGTTTATGCTCACCGGCTTCGTTAAATATAGCATGCATGCGGTGTCAGTATATTGGCCGTTCTCGTGGGTTGAGTTTTGCTCCAAATTTTGCTTTTAATTTGCAGGATTTATATTTATTTCAAATATCCACTATGTTTAAAAGAAGACTTCAAGCTCTTGGATATTTGGAATGGAACAAAGTTAATATAAACGGTTTGTCTCGTGTACTTGTAGTAACAAGGAATTCTAACATTGATATTATTACTAACAAGATCTAGTATCATGTTTGTTGAGCGATAAATTCAGGAATATATTTATCTTTCTCGAACGTTCTACACTTAAATAATATTCTATATATATTGAATAAATCCTATTATCAATGTTAAAAAACCGTATCGTTATAGGTTATAATGATCGGCATAACGCGATGAAAAAAACGTTGTCTTTACTCTCGTAAAACATTTTACGAGATTGGAATAAGTAAAAAGTTTAATTTTTCTATCTGTTGCAGATCCACAACATTTTCGTAAAGTAGTACTTTGGTTAGAAGATCAAAAGATACGCCAGTATGATATACAAGATAGAAAAGATTTACGCGATATAAAAAGCGAATATTGGCCTAAAGCTTTCGCTAAATATTGTAAGGATATTCAATGTCCAATATTTGATAATGATGTGGATCAACTTGAATGGCTGATTGGCTGTGCAATCTGGTTTGAGACAGACAACAATAGTAAATATTTTTTAACGAGTGGAATTAAAGATTATATATTAGAAATATATTAAAGAAATATACTATTATTTAAACTCTGTAGCTCTAAGTTGTGATTAAGTATAAACTAATAACACATTATTACAAGTAACTTTATATGAAAATGACAATTCAGTTGTGTGTTTCAGCTGAACAATATTCACAGAATATAAAAGAAATGAAGTTGAAAATGAAACAGGAAGCATTAGTGCCTCATCTTAAGTCTAAAAATCCACTCGACAATTTGGACTGTAAGTCACGAAACAGATCGTGTTCGATAATTTTTTAAAGATTGTAATTCTATGCTCCTATTTTTATAAACACACTATTTTTATCATTTTATGTGATCATCAGTTGAGAACAACGAGTTCCAAGATGGAGTTTATTCTATGGCAAAGTTGCTCCGAATCCCGCGACATCCAAATCATTTGATCACATTAAAAGCCTGCAGTAAGCTAGTACAAAGGAGATTAAATTCTGAGTGCCTAAGGAATCCAAATTCCAAAATTGTTCGAGGCAAACCATTTCCTATTATGAACTGTGATCCTGGCTTCCAATTGAAGAAGACAGCAGTGGAAAATGCAGCTAAAATCCTTGCTCTCCTTTACATCCAAAATATTAGGAATCTCCAAACAAAAATCAACGAAGTGATCGTCCGTGTACAGAATATTACAGCTAATCCTAAGACAGACACCAAGTTAGGGAAAGTTGGAAAATAAGGAATTATTTATTGCATCAATAAAGGCCTTTTGATCTTTTATGATACTCCACGGTGTATCTTAGATATGATAAAAACATTAAACACTAAGTTTCTCAATTCTAAACCTTGAAACTACATTATTTATTTATTTTAATTGTTTTATAATAAGTATTTATTGAAATTATTGCGAAAATTATTTTTTTCGTTTAAGTACGTACTATAATTTTTGTAAAATATTTCAATTAAAATATTTCAATTATTTTATTGCAAAGCCTTTTCATCATGGTGATATTTAAATGTTATGAAAACGAAACAAAAATCAAATTACTACGAAAAGAAAAGCAATCATAAGAAATAACAAATACTAGATTTTGTTATAATATAAAGTTTTTGTAAAAAAAAAACAAATAAATATATAAAACAACTTAGTTTAGTAATTCTATCTAATACTAATAGCAATGTAAGATTTAGGATTAAAATATTCCTTTTTTACACTTTATACATTTTGGTTTTGTATGTTTCTATAAATGGATAGATTAATTTATTAGGAAAAAATTCTGATTGACAATATTTATTAAATAAGAAATTATTATAATACTCAATAATCTTTAAGTATATATTTATAAAGCTGAGTAATAAAGTCTTTCAATATCACTATTTTTATGTTCTTTTTCTGATATAATATTCTTCTGAGATGGAATACGATATTCAAATTTAAGAATAAGCTTAAAAATATAAATAATAAACTGTATATTTTGCATTTTTTTAATAAATATACAAGAATGTCATAGATTTTTTTTTTTAAACAATTAAAATCTAAATTGCCTTAAATTATATTTAAGAGTATAGATGCAAATTTTACATTTATGAAATGCAATCGGTAAGTAGATATGATGTTTCAAGTAAATATCATGTGACTAAGGTTAAATTTTCCATCAATGGCTTTTTCTCATTGTTACTGTTGATAATCTCGTTATTTGGAGTAGTACCTATGGTGCAAAATTTAACCCTTTTGAAATCGATATTTTTATATCGATTTATAGGATATTATATTTTTTTAAAATTGTAAGACTCTCTTGATGGCAGTTCCACAATGCTAATCATTATTATCCAGCAGATTATGCTTAATTATATAAAATTTTAAGTATATTAAGATAATATTAGATTGATTAAATAAATTAAAAATTTCATTACAGAAAATTTACTGCACTTTAGATTTCTTTAGATTTACATAATATTAAGGCACTCTTTTTCGAGGCTGCCTTTTGATATTCTTCTTAAAATTACATTTATTCGGCACGTAATGTTGCTAATGATCACTATAAAATTAAAACAATCTTATTATAATATAAATATTGTGCAATATGTCAAGTCGTAATAATTAATATCATATGTATATATTTGTACGAAAAGTATAATTATAATAGTCTATATAAAGAATGTCTCTTTTTAAGATAAATTTATTGACCTGTGACATTAGATTACTTAGCGTAATTCGTTGATTTATTTGCAAATGTGTCATTAGAAGATGGATATTTGGTGTAATTTTTGAATATAGAAACTAAAGGACATTTCTTAAATATCTACTAGAAGGAGAACAATACTCCATATTCACTAGATGGAGAACAACCACAAATAATCTTAGAAGATCATGTGGGAAAATAAAGGTATTATCCCCTTATTTTCATGTAATTAGAAAGATGTTATAATATGTCCAATTCAACTTTTAAATATTCAATGTAGTTTAAGGAATTTTTAAAAGTAGGTAATGCATACTATATGTTAGAAATAGAAAAAGTTTAAGTTAATTTATAAATAGTCATTAGATTGCTTTTTATCGGAAATAGATGAAAATCTGAAAGATACAACAATTTTCCTACTGTTATGCAGCCGGAGAACATATCTTAAAGCAACTATAAAAATTTGTGGAATTAAATCTATGAAAGTCTACACCTAACTCTGTTACCAGAAGGTACAGCTTCAAGCGTTTGTCTAGCAGTGCTTGTCTCTTGCATCGAAGCTTGGAGTGCTCTTGCAAGTGCTTCGTCTTCACTCATACTGCCTTGATAATTCTTAAAGATTTCGCCGTTTCTTCTATTTACTTTTATATTATTTTCTAAAACATCAAGTCTTTTTTTTCGTGTCGTCTCCTCCTGGCCTATACATGCGTGATCTGTCGGATGTCTATGCTTCAAACAGAAATTTTTACCGCAATCAGAACAACGTACTTGCACTATTTCTTTGATTTTACAACCTTTTGAGGTGCATCTAGAATGAAAAAAATTATCTATGATGAAAATTCAATGCTTCATAATACTATGTATATCAAAACATTTGCACATCAAAATTATCTTTCTTAAACCAGGATAAAATTTAATCTAAAAAACGGTTTATTTTACCTGTTAGAAAAAATTTTTTGACTAGGTTTTTTTAATTCTGATTGACATTCATTATCCATGTGTTGTCCAACTGCAATATCTGGAGGATCACCACGTTTTATAGGCACTGGAGCATTACAAAGAGGACATACTGGAACTTGAATGTCTTTTTTATAAGCACTTGGACAGCTATGGTTATTATATGATATGTGTTCAGAGCAAAAGATTGCAGAACAAGCATCACACTTGAGAGGTAAAAAATCCAATCGATTGCAACTGTTTTCTGAACAATGCTCTCCTAGGTTTGGAAATTCCATCTTTGATAGAAAATATCTGCGATGAAATTATTATATCAAAAATGAAATATTAATGTGTAATTAACATTTTTATATTTATTATAAACCATTTAACATTGGCTTCTTTATTCATAGTAACAAAAACAAGTGAAAGTATTATTATTTAACAATGCCGATAACAGATAATAAAAATTAAAGATTTAAAAAGATAAAAATAAAGTATTTTAATTATTTGAATTTGTATTTACAGAACAAAATAAATTGATAATACTAATTAACATTAAGTAAAGTAATATTAATAATAATAATGATGTTTATGCTCATGCTTGTAAATACAGAAATTCAAAAAGTTAAAAGATTTTTAAAATCTAGGTGAAAACATGCATTCGATAGACCAATTTGATTTTCAAAGCCAATTTGATTTTTTTGTTAAATATAGTTCTACATGTAAAATTTTACTTTGCATTTCAAACTTATTATTTTCATAAAAAATTGATCACTTCTTGATTGTACTATCTTTGCTGTGTCATACTTGTATGCCACAGTTACAAGTAGATTATAACCTCTAAAACCACATTATGCTACAAACTTCTAAACTTTAAAAAAAAATTAACAAATAAAAAATTATAAATACGAAATTACTTGACAGAATAAAATATAAAAGAATGTGCATGATAAAAGCAATAAAATAGTTTTATGTAAATACATACCTCAAATAATATTCTAAGTAAATAGGTTACAATTCCTTTATATAAAAGTTAATTAACATTTCATTTCAACAATATATATCACAGCAAAATAAATGCCACTTTAATTCAATCGTTACAGTGTTCAAAATTTCCACAAAACTAAAATGGAAACTTATACTTGGAAAAGAAAAGAGCATAAACTTTCTTTCAATTATAAAACTCAAGACGCAGAACTTTCTCAAACTAACTAACTTTTTTGATTTGAAGCAAATATAAAGCGCGTAAACTTATGAAACGGACGGAATAATCGCGTCATTCGAGGAATAACGCGAATTAAGCATGACGTTGCTTTTGAGCAAATCGGACGTGGCGTCTCGATCCACACCGATTAGACATTACAATTTAGAAATAAATTATACAATAATTTTGTTATGATTTTAAATTGTCATGATCTTCAATTGATCCAAATTAACGTCACTTTATAAATAAGTACTCAAATTACTTTATATATAATTTTTCAACAGCCAAAATTTTAATTCTTACATCAATTTCTCGAATATTTGAATATCCGAGAATATGATCGTCGAAAAACCAAGATGAATGAATTAATTTGTAAAATACATGTTCTTTACGATAGTGAAGAAACATTCTTGGTTATAACGAAGGAAATAACGTGACGTTTACTTGTACATCTAGTTTCTCGTTGCGGATACGAGGTTTGAATTTTCGCGCGGTTTGAAAACAATCGTTCGATTCCACGTTTCAGCGATTTGAAACGAGGGGAACACGGAGCGCGCTCTCAGCGATTTACAATCATAAACTTGAGTTTGCTTTGTACTTATCACTGGAGCATGGTTTTATTATGATTTTTGAGCGCCAGGTGGCCGCGTTTTTGTTGCCTGTTTGTCGAACAGTGCGGGTCTCAGCGCCATTACATCGATTAATGTCACTGTACCGCGCGTCCAGCGATAACTAAACTCGCCCGTAACAACTAAATTCGAAATAGAGAAGATCCGATCGGCATGTCGACTAAACATAAAATTCCGGCGGCGAAGAAGAGCCGCGCGAAACAGAGGAAGGTCGAATACGACGAGGAGGATATCTCGAGTGAGCACGACTCGGACGTTGATGACGCTGAGACCGGCTCGAATGCTGATGGCGAGGACGCCGCCGAAGATGATCTTACTGACGTCTCCAATATCCCGGAATTACCACCACCCGAGGTGAAACTACTTTCGTTTTCAGGCGCTTATTCGTTCCAGGCAGAGAGAATATTGAGGTCTGAATGGGCGTTTGAAAGTTCGACGTTGCCTTTCCGACGCTGATAAGCCTCATAACCCATGTGTTTAACGAACCGATAAAAGAATTTCATTTCGTAAGAGGAGAAGACGGCTCCGTTTTTTCAGATTTTTAGAATCGGTCGATAATACTACAAGAATCCGTACGAAATCGTATACCAAGATTTTAAGTTTATGATTTTTCAATGTATCAATTACAACCAAGTAATTAGATCCCCATTGATGAACTATAAAATAACACTTGAGCTTTAAAGATCCTGTTTTCAATTTTGGCCTGTGACTGTGTAAAACCATACATATATACTGTATAATATTGTCCATGATTTGAAGTAACAAGCTGTGTTCAAATATCTTCATGACCCACGATACGTTGGATAAGAAAATTGAAACTGAGAAGTTTATTGAACGACTATCGTTTCATGTTTGATGCATTATTTACGATTGTATGATTGTTTCAGGGAGGATGGGGTAAACCTGGAACATTGCTCATGTGTGGCTTGACAAACTGGGACATGGCAGGCCGTAAGGCTCCACCAAAAGGAGTGAAAGCCAATGTAGGACGTAGTCTGTGGACCCCGCATACGTTCAAAAACTTGAATAGTGCTAGGATCAGATTAGTTGCTTCTGGTCCAGCTGCTTCTCATAGTATTATTGTTACTGAAGATAATAGATGCTTAGCTTTTGGTAGAAATGATAAAGGTAAATGAATGAAAGGTAAACAAAACTTATCTTACAATTAAAATAGTACTCTGTAAGTAAATGTAATTCATGTACAATCGAAGGCACGCAAGATTTGTTGAGTCGTATTATTTCTGTTGGTACTGGACTAGCAAATATCTGATTTGATGCAATTTTCTGATTGTGTGTATGTGCACGTGTATAAATATTTTATAGTGAATTTTATAGTTCAGCTATTGTTAACAACGTAAATTTTGCAGGCCAGCTGGGCATTGGCGATACGAAACGTCGGGATGAACCTACGGAAGTTACAGCGCTGAAAGGTCACACTGTAATAGGAGCCTCTTGCGGCCGTAATCACACATTATTTTTAACGAGTCGCGGAATCGTATTCGCAGCCGGAGACAATAAACTGGGCCAATGCGGTGTCGGGAAATCCGACGCTTGCATTGTCTCTGCTACTAAAGTCAAGTATTCTGGCCCGCCGATAGTGAAAGTAGGATGCGGCGCAGACTTTTCAATGATTCTGGACATTAAAGGTGGCCTGCACTCGTTTGGAAGCCCGGAGTACGGTGCACTTGGCCATAACACAGATGGGAAATATTTTATAACGAACACGAAAATGGCATTTCACTTTGAGAAAGTGCCTAAGAGAATCGTTTTGTACATTGAAAGAGCAAAGGATGGCCATGTCACGCCGTTAGATCGTGTTGAGATCACAGACTTTAGTTGCGGGCACTATCATACTGTGGCGATCGATAGCAAAAATCGTGCGTTCTCCTGGGGATTCGGTGGTATCGGTCGTTTGGGTCACAACGAGCAACGAGATGAATTAGTACCTCGTCTAATAAAATTCTTGGAACCGCCTACTCGAGGCGTCAGAGCTGTATATTGTGGCAGTACTTACAGCATTGCCATTAACGTTCACGGATCAGCTTTGATGTTCGGACAGACGAAACGTACAGGAGAAGCGAATATGTATCCGAAGCCGATCCAGGATTTGTCCGGTTGGGAAATTAGATGTGTCGGATGTTCCCAGACTAGCGTAGTAGTCGCAGCTGATGATTCGGTTATCGCTTGGGGTGCTAGCCCTACTTTCGGTGAATTGGTAAATAATTATGTAATGAATAAATCTTTTAACACAGAAATTATTTACAGACTTTTGGAAACTAAATTCCTCTTCTTCGATTGCAGGGTTTTGGCGAAATGCGTAAGTCCTCTACTACTCCAATGGAAGTGAAAGCGTTAGAAGGTTTGTACATTACTGCTGTTACCTGTGGCCTCTCTCATACCCTTATGATTTGTCGAGACGAATCCGAAGAAGAGAAGGCTAAAATTAACAAACTCCAAGTGTATTCTGTTTAAATCGCATAATTTTCAGTTCGATTATACAAATACTACTCGAATTGCCTCGTGTGTCGAGGCATTTGGAAATTTTTTTATACTCATCGCAATCGTTACTGCATTTAAAGGAACAAGAAAAAAAAAAAAGAAAGAAAAGAAAATCAATTTGTAATGAAATTGTAATGAAGTTACTTTAAATAACTTAAAGGAAAGATTGAAAGATCTGTGAACAATTTATTAATAGACTGTGAAAAACGTCCATATAAAATATAGACTTAACGTTACTCTCTACTTTGTACTTCCACTTTTACTTAATAATATGAAGAAAAGTTTACCATAATAGGGAATCCCATTCTGTTAGTAGCTCAGGATATAGACCAAACGTATAGATAACGAAAATATATTTTGATACTTTGCTATTTTATTGAAGTACTCTCTCTTTCTCTGTGTCTTTAACAAGAACGGAAATAGTTAATACGTATGAAGAAGAGTGCTGGAAACTGAAAAGAAGATATCTTATGAATTTAACGAATACGCATTTACGTTTATTACTCATTTTAACGATACAAACACAAATAGCCTATATCATTGATTCATTACAGTAGTACCTGAATCATTAAATCTGCAGAAATCATTTTTATATTCTATGTACAGGGACATTTTAAATGCAATTATACAGGGAAAAAAAAAACGGATTTAATGTTTTAAATGGCTGTTTTTATGGTAAAAACATAGAGAATGTTTTATAAATTCATTTATTTTTGTGTTCAAGTATGAAACTTGTGTTAGCTAGCTATAGACAAACAATGCTTTCTTAAAAAGCCGGCATTGTTTATCATACATTTTAAACTAAGAATTGTTTGACAGTTATATTCGACAAAGAAAGTTTCAGTAAGAAAAAAGATATATATTGTTAATTACTGTATTATATAGGGTACAAAAGGATCTTGTAACGAATTTAAATACGTGATTTGGTCACCATATGTTATACAAACTCATGTATACGTATTATAATTAAGGCTATCCAGTAGTGAATATAATCGAAATTTTATATATAATTTTATTTTAGAACTGTTAACGTAATATAAAAATCCATATAAATTACACATAATGTCATATGTTTAAAAAGGACTGTAATTAGATTCACTGCCACAATGTATTTGGAGTCTCTTTTATATTGCGATGATATGACTTTAATACTTATTCATTCCATTCTGTGCCATGTAATACCTTTATGGAATTACACTGCACCGTTTTAATAAAATTGGAACAAATGTACAAGGCAAATTATAAAATAAACGAGATTTTTAAAGAATTTTTCAAAGATTCTTCTAAATATCTGTTCTAAATTCTTCTAAATATTTTTATTATTTATTAGATTTCTCTAATATATCATTCTTATCTAATACACTGATTTTACAAACTCAACATTTCAGGAAATTAACAACTTTCAAATTTTTTAAGTGGTTTCCATAGATATTTCCAACATTGTTTTTTAATACGATATAATTCTTGATAGTCTTTGCAAATATAAGGAATATTTTTCATGGTTTCTTCATTTAGATTTTTTATGTGTTCTTCTTTTTCTAAATGTTTCTTCTCCTATTTTAAAAGTATTAATGCTTTACATTTTTAAATGTACACCGTGCTGATTATTCTTAATAAAGCATTAAAAATTATTGCATATGATACTAACAACAAGTTTACGATCCATTTCTATAGTAGATAGCGCAATTAATTGCTGAAGTTTGTTCTTTTTGTTTTTGGGAACATTGCTGAAAATCCATTGCAATAATTTATATCCCATGAAATGTATTGGGTCTGATGGCTTGTATTCTAGAGTCTTAGCCATTGCCCATGATAATGGCACCATAACATTTCGTCTGTTGTTGTAAGAAATTGAAGAATGAAAATGAAGCAATAAAATATATTGGACTTTTATCTTTAATGCAATCATCATTTACCTTAAGTAATCATTTCGTTGTGCAGTTAATTCATATACTGTTTTATTTCTTGCTAAAATATGACATTGACAAGCACACTGTTGGTAATATTCTGGTATACTAGTAAAACTAGAACTGGTTCTAGAATTTGTCTTGCAGATTTTTTGCGTTATTTCTAGACAACGATCGATTGGTTCCAATATAGTTAAACTACATTCGCATATTAATTCCTGTAAAAAATATTAACACAACAAATGTGGTAAATAGAGCAAGTAATTATGTTCAAACCTCCAAAATTGGTAATTTTTCTTCCATTGCATTAAAGCCCAAGTCAACTAACATTTGTTCAGTTTCTTCATCAATTCCATATTGTTCTACTAATTGTACGACATTTTCTTCTATTCCAATGAGCTTCAAAAATTTAATTATTTTAAAAGATGCAGAATTAACAGGAGATTGCCAGTTTAAAATTCCAGGAATATCAATGCCGCTTAAAGTTAAATAACAAAGAATACTTGGAGTTTGAAGTGCTACTCCGTGTACAATAATATTCCAACAATTCATATCATCTAAACCTGTAGCTCTTAAATTTAAAATCAACTCATCATTAAATTTAGTGGTCCACATTTCTTTGAACTCCAGACTATATGGTTCTACATTAAATTCTTTAAAATAATAAAGTTCACAATAACTAAGACTGATGAGTCCTAGTTTCATTGCTTTTATGATGTTATGTATAGACATACCTAAAAATAAAGCTGAATTACTATAATTTTTGGTAATGTATATCATAGATAAAAGACACCTTTCTTTCTTAATTCCTTTAAAACATGAATACTATATAAGCCACTATAGATAGAAATCAATAATCTTTTATCATTTGCAACATCACTAGAAATATTTTTCAATGCATCTGACTGCACACGAATACATTGTTTAAGTCTGTTTGTTAGTAATTTCAATAATTTCTCTGTACTCCATGTTCCATATATTTGAAGTCCTTTATTAGTTAGCACAACATTTAATTTGGTTGTTTGTAAAATTTCTGTTGATGATGAACATGTTGAATATGATTCAGAGAAAATTTCTCTAAAATTAATAAACTGATTTTAAGAAAAAGATGTACTTCACAATTTAAAGTTGTTTTAGATATAATTAAAATATTGTAACTTTGTATACTTTTCATTATGCGAATATTTATTAAAATTTTCATAGCTTCTGTAGTAATTATTTAACATAATTGCTTTATTTACAAATGAAATTAATTTTCAGGACGTGACACGTATGAACTGATTATGAAATGATCATTCAAAGTCAAATATTTTATCAGGCAACTGTTTGTATAATGACATATTACATTATTTTATCATGACTAATGTAGTAATTTATTTTATTCACAATACATTAAAATAATTTCGTTAAATCAAACAGTTATTGTTCATTCGATCAATACTTAAAAAAATATCAGCATATAAAAGACAAAAGATTAAATAAACGTATTTAATACAATATCATAGTTTTTTAAAATACATTTTTTTACACAAGTAACGATATGCATTTTATCTATTTATTGTGCAGTAAATATTGAAATCACGATAATAGATTATCATGACAACAAAGAAAATACTGAAACTATAAATGCTACAGCAAAAACATATATAAATATAATTAAAATCACTGTGTTTGAGATATTACTGAAGTTTTCTTGATATTTATTAATTATTAAATTACGTGCATACGCATAATATATTTACATGAATATAAATTTTGTATTACAAATACCTATATAAAATTTAACTGTTTAACAAAGAATTAGAAATTAGAAGCAAACTCTTTGATATAAGATATTTCTTCCCACAACATACACAAAGCAATAATGTGTCATATTATTATTCACGTTTGTTTTCAAAGTTCACACTTCAATATCTAGTTTTAGACCATATTCAACCTATGGTTTCTCTTGCAATTGTCACTGGCAGAATTTCATATTACAATTATTTAAATCAAACTGCAATAACAATTTGAAGGTCTATTATGTAGGTGAGTATCATCTGCCAATTGTATTCCTCTTTGACCTCTGTGTCTTACACCTCCCATATTACCATTACCGTATGAATTAATAAGAGAATGTCGATCCCAAAGTCCAGGTGTTTGTATTATCTATGAATAATATTAATCTGTAAGACTTGATAAGTTTAAAAAAAAAATTAATCGCACCTTTTGTACAAGTTCCTCGAAACAACATTTAATTCCATCTGCTGTTTTGGCACTGCTTTCAATGTATAAGGTTTGGTGTCTTCTGGCAAATTGTAGGCCTTCTTCAGTGCTTACTTCTCTGTTTGGTAAATCTATCTTATTACCCACTACCATTTTAATGATATCTGTCTTATTGCAATATGTATTCAACTCATTAAGCCATGTTTCTAATTTCATAAAGGTAACTCTATCTGTAACATCATACACTAATATAGCACCTTGACCATCTCTGTAGTAACTAGGTGTTAAAGTACGAAAACGTTCTTGGCCGGCAGTATCCTGCAATCATTTTTTAATATATTACATTGTTTCAATTAAAAAATATAATCCTTTAATAACCAACATTAAAATAACTAACCCATATTGCAAGTTTTACTGTATTGCCATCAATTGTGACTTGTTTAGTTCTGTAGTCCATGCCGACTGTGCTTTGCATATTTTCATGAAATTCATCCTCAGTAAATCTAAGGAGTATGCTGCGAATAAAAACAACATATAAACAATAATATAAATGTAAATACATTTAATTATACATTTAATAAATACAACCAATACAGTCAACTTACATTTGTACTCAACTTACCTAGATTTTCCAACATTTGATTCTCCTATCATTAATAGCTTTAAGACCGTTAACACATCTTGATCCATTGTTAGTATTATATCACAGCGCTCAGTCTAAATGTTATTTGTTCCTTTATGGTATTGACACTGTTACAAATAAAATGTAATCAATAAAGTCTCAATCAAATTTTAATTATAAGAATTCCATAATTAAATTATTAAATCTCCTTGAAATTTGAAAAGTGAAAACAAAGTGCTACAAAATAAATTGAAAATTACATATTAATTACATATTATGTACTAATTAAAAAGCATACAATAATTTATGTCTGTCACAGTGTGATATGCATATTCATGCAATATTATTACATTGCATTTGATATTAATCATTGATAGAGAAATCGAATAACAAAACGAAAGTTCAATAAATCTTGTTTACAAAACAGCAAAGTTTCTTTTCTGGTGATAAAAAGGTTACAGATTGACGTTAATACTAGCCCGAATACTTTTGGCTTTCCTTTGAATCTTTAATAATCGCTTACCGTGAATACGTCACTCGGATCTAACGAATGATCTCATCATTTCTTTTCCACGCTTAAATGAAAAATCACAATGCACTGTTATACTTTTAACAGTGGAGAAAGGAACACTGAAGCAATTACAATAGTTGTTCCAAAATAGTATAGATGTCGTCTATGTTTGATTCTGGTCAATTACGCAGAAAGAGATAAAAAAAAAAATGTTCCTAATAAATTCCTACAAATGTAAATCGATGTCTCTCTATAGCGAGTTTAAAGCGAAATCCCTGTCGAAATTGAACGAAACAAAACGAATATGTGTGATTTATACGAATCGTCCATTATTTGTCTCCTTAAATTCCAAGTCGATACGAACGTTCGAAACGTACGATTATTTCAAATAAGACGACACGAGCCGAGTCGTGAACAGATCCAAAGTTTCAAGTCATGAACAGATCGCTCGAAATTGCGAGAGTAACTCCTGTACGCTTGTACGGGTGACTTAACCTCAACTGCGCGATACATGCTACGTTATCGCGTACGGAAAGATAACAGTTTTACCGAAGATGTCAACTATCGAATACAGTCGATTCTTACGAAGAGCATCCAACTCGCGCATATAGTTGTCGAACGACGTAGATTGATTCGAATAATTGATCGATATTCATTTCAAGCTCCGAAAGAAACATAACCTCAAAAAGAGGGAGGGGAGAGAGAGAGAGAGAGAAATTACGATGCATGAGATATGCTGTCGGTGAGTAATCGTCGCGGGTCCGTTGCTCGAGGTAAAGTACTCACCGACGCTAGTGGGAGCACTACAGAAGAGCGTTCGAACACATCTTCGTACGACACGTCGAGAATCTAGGATAAAGTAAGTTTTCGTTCGCTATAGTGGCAGAACGTCGGGACAGGCAGGAGAAAAAAAGATGGCCGCCGATGGGCTGCCATGAACGGGCTGCGTCGCTCACGCTCGTGGAAATGGGACGTTGCGACAGCGAAGTGTCACCGCAGCACCCGTGAAGTGTCACAGAGTGTTCGTCGAGTGACGTGAGGTGTTTTGTTTTGGTCGATCACCGCGGGGGCCGATCGTTCGCGATGGCATCGGACGGGTAAGAGAACGAAATTCGCTCGATTCTAGGGGGAATGGAAATACGTACGTGCCATTGCCGCGGTACACTGGCTATATTTCGCGGATCGATAGTGAATTTTTTTTTCCCAGTGACCCGTCCCAGTTTTCTCGCGGCGAGCTACGTACTCGTCGAACGAACGACAGCATCCTCTCTCGATAATTCAAACAGTTTGTCAAACACGCACGAGAGACTGGGTGGGTCTTTAAATTCGACGAGATTCGTTCGAACGTTTCTCTTTCACGTTCGCGTGTATGCGTGCACGAATCGTCCGAGTCATGTGCGCCTCTGTATCTTTCCCTCCGTCTCTTTCACCACTTTCGTTTTTCTCTTCTCTTTTCTTCTTTTTTTTTTTTTTTTTTT